TATTAAGGCCATTCTCTGAGAAAACATTTTAAGGCCAACTGACTGTAATTTGGGAGGTGTATTTCAAGAAGATTAAAGCTGCCCCACGTTTTTATAACTGTCCGTATGAATCACATAACAAAGGCCTTGTTCTTGGCTTGGACTGTTTTTGAAATTAGATGAGTAAAGTTAATAAAATTGGGCAAAGTCTCCAGAGTGATCTCTACATTATTTAAACAGGTGATCAAAACAGAAATTAGTTTCAAGCTCCTAACAGAGTCAGCAAATAGGCTTGAGCAGTCTTGGAGTGCAGCTGTGGCTTAGTGGTGGAACATCTCCTTTGCATCCAGATGGTTCCAAGTTCAACACCTCCAGTTAAAAGAACCAGGCAGCTCTACCTGGGGGCCTGGAGAGCTGCTGCTAATAAGGCTAGTCCTTGATAGACCAAGGGGTCTAGCTAACCAGTGGTACAAGGCAGTAACATGCATTCTCATTCATTAAATTCTTGTAAAGTTGTCTGTGGGCCATCTGTGCTGAAGTATCACAGACTGGACATTTCCTTTAGGAACCACTTCCTGTGGCCATGTGATCTCTTAGGAATGCCAGTTTGGCTTTTTACAAGAAAAATCAGGTTTGATTATCACATTAAAAATCTAGAAAATGTGATGTCAATGTTGGTGCCCATATCTCATGCTCTTGTCTCTATCCCCTCCTCTAGACTGATAGATCTGGGATTCTAACTGGCTCCCTGCTAAAGAAGAGCACTGTCCTGTTCCTCTGCTGTATATGCAGGCAATACAGACTCTCCCAACATGAATGTGCAATATCTGGAGAACTGGGGGTGTGGGAAGAGATCCAGGACATCCCACGACTGAAGTTCCACAGAGTTCCACATTATGTCACCCTTTGGCACACAATTGCCAGTAAGGAACTAGAAGGTGTGGCTCTCCAAGGGAAACTGACATTCTGGGGAAGACAGATGAACACGCAACACTATCATCACATGCCTGGCTCTTACTATTGGTCATAAACAGAGGTATGATAGGCGATGAGCCAGAATGGGATAATTGTTCTCACTTCCTCCATTCTAGAGTAAAGGGGAAGGAATCCTTGGGCGGTCCTCTGGTTCACTTCCTCATCTGTCCTACCTGCACTCAGAGCAGCTATTCTAGATGCATCTTCAGAAAACAGGCTTAAATGCTCAAATACCAAATAGAAAATAATAGATTGTTATGTCTTTTATCATAAACTAACTAAAATTAAGCACTAGGCAGCGCAGTTCTAGGCAGACTTAGATCCTTCTAAGCCGTTCATTAATTTCCATTCATTTCAGTTAGTGTATTAATCACCTTTTTCCATGATTCCCATGGAATATGGAGGAATTCAGACATAGGCTATATGATTCCTATTATTGTTAAACTAGCTTCAGAGTTGAAAATTTCAAGGTGTTCAATATTTCACACAATTTCAGTTTCTGCCTATGTTGCCCTGATCATTGTTATACAACCATTGTTCTGATTATACAAAATCATTTTCTGGATGTTTGATACTGACAGAATTCCACTGACTTTGTATACTCTCTCCAAAAAGTGTACATCCATTCTCAAAGATCAAATGCAGACAGAAACAATAATTGAAAATACAATCTTCAAATTCAGAGGTGAAGTTTGAAGTAAATTCAGAAATCTAAAAAAAAAAAAAAAACTAAAATCAGGGGATTAAAGCTCCCCCAAATAAGAGAAACGACAAGTACAGTGTTGAGAAAAGAATGCCCACACAACTGGGCCTGGCCAGGTGCCTGCACTAGCCACTGCACAAGTGGGCCCAGCCCAGCAGCCGCAGTGCAACTGGGCTCAGTCTGGCCCAGCACAAGCAACTGGCCACTCCACAACTGGGCCCAGGCCAGCAGCCACCATGCAGCTGGGTCAGACTTTTCATGGGGAGAGGCTGCTGCAGGAAGGAAGAAGAGAAAGCTGAAGACAGGGGAGTAGATAAAGGTAGTTGCCTGGGCGGGTGGGAAGAACAAAAGGTAGAGGGGAAAAGGGAAAGGCCATGAGGGCTGCCAGGGAAGGGTAATAGGAAATAGCGGAAAGGAAAGAGGAAATAGTGGAGGAGGGGATACACAGGAAAATGAAATGTATCCCACAAGTCCTTGCAGATTTCCCACTTGTACATAATTGATCGTTGCTTGTACACAGCTTTTGCCAACATACAGCAAACTCTTTTCGATCTTTCCTGTGCCCCTTTAACAAAGAAACCACCAGGTACTAGACCAAAGGGGTCACACAGAGACACCATCAGAATAACATGCATCTGATTAAGTGAGCTCTTGTCAACTGAATATATGCTGGAGTAAAATCTTGTTAGCCTTGAAGGTACCACAAGACTCCTGTTTATTTTGCTATGACGTGTGTGTGTTAAGTCAAGTTGCAGCTGACTTACAGAGACCCCAGCAAGGAGCTTTCAATGCAAGTGAGAAGCACAGGCGGTTTACCATGGCCTTCCTCTGCAGTGTCTTCCTTGGTGGTCTCTTTTCCAAGTACTGATACAGCTTAGTTTCAGATCTGATAAGATTGGGCTATACTTTGCCACCTCCCCTTCTTGCTACAATATACTAACATGGTTGCCTTCTCCCATTATTACCAGGGTACCTGTCTCCCATATATTCCATACAGTCACCAAGGCCACTGAATGCAAGTAATTCCTTCTTATGTGGCATCCCTGATTACTTGCACAAAGCCAGAGGTAATCACCCTCCCATCACCTTCCACATCTGCCTTTGGGCTTCCACCGTGTCCCAATAATTATTAATGAGGTGATTGTCATCACTATACATATTCAGACATCGCAGATGGATCCTTCTACAACTTAGAGATGTGTTACATCCTCCAGCAACTGAAAGGTTTTTTTCTCTCCTTCTATGCAGGACACACCTTTGTTGTGTGTGGATTTCATGTTCCCTGGGATATTGGAGCAAAACAGGTTGTATTGTGTGTGTAATTTAGTTGGTATCACACCTGAGATCCCATAAAGACTATGTTATGTGGGTTCAAGTCCTGCCCTGTTACACCTGTATAACACCTCTGGAATGAGGTTTGTCGTCAGGGAGACAAAAAAATACACCACACAAATGGAATGGGGGGGAAATCTCAGTGCATTAAAATACACCACACAAATGGAATGGGGGGGGGGAAATCTCAGTGCATGTGATCATGATACTGTCATCAATTGCCATGACACACAAATGAATACAATCTCAATAGGAATGAAACATTCATCACTGTAATTATTAGGGTAATATATTGCTTCCTTAACAACTGGTTTTAAAACATAGGTTGTTAATTGGATTTTAATCATAGTTGTCCCAACAGTTGCTCATCAACACTGCTGACATTGCTCTGAACACTTTGTATCTGGGATGAGCAGTTAAGTTTCCTCAAAGTCCCCCAAAGTTATAAGAGAACTGCTGGAAGACAATGCAAACTGCAAACTCTCCTTTATACTGGCTACCTGGGCAATGGGTTAACATACAGCTGGGCTGGCATGGTGAAAGCAGGATGTCCAAATATGGACCTGAGGGCAATAGCTGCCCAGCCCTCCACGGTATCAGTTCTTGGTTCAAACTACCAGGTGGTTTCTCCAAGAATTCATGATGTTTGGTATTCATCCGGATAAATAATTAATCTTCCTTCAATAATCTCAACCTGTTTCCCGTACTGAGATGTTATCATATTTACTGTGATCAGCTGGCCAGTAAAAAGCCAGGTTGACTTAAAAGATCTATAATCAGTTAACATCACACTACTTTCTGAACAGCCAGTTCCTCTAAAGGCTGTTTGTTTGGCTATCTTCTGCTGCGCTTTTCCCACAGGGTGGCTCCTGGGAGCTACCAAGGCCCAGTGCAAAAATCAATGAATTCAGTTGCTGGACTTGGCCCAGGAAGGGCTGGAGTCACATGACACTAGGTGAGCTCACTGGGGGTGTGTCTGCCAGGGGCTCTGTTTGGGAATCAAAGTATTTGTTTGATCACTGCAGCGGAGAGGGCAACAGTGGAGCAGTGGGATGCTGGCAGAGGGTTTGTTCCATCACAGCACATTTTGCTTCCAGTTTAATGCTAAAGTGCTGAAGAGGGGAAGCAGAAGAGGTTCCATGGTGGTAGGAGTTTGGAACTCTAAGCCTCAGTTCCACCTGCTGTAAAATGGGAATAAAAGTATGGCTGGCCTGAGACATCTTGTTATCCCAAATAGCTGTAGCAAGTGACCTGTATCCCTGGCATCTTCTTCTTGGCCAATTTCACCTTGGGTGCCGCATTTAGGTTTATGCTGTGCCTCTGGGCCATCTTGAGACAAAGATTAAATTGTTACCTCTTAAAAAAAGGACAGGATACTTATGTGCCCCTGAGTAAGGCCTGCTTATCATCTGATGACTGCAACATCAAACAAAATGTGTGTGAATGGGCCATCACATCTAGAAATAACTTTTAACACCATCCCACTTGTATTCAAAACAACACTTTTCACAACCAACTCAGTTCACTCACTTAGTTGCCTCAGCCTTGCAAGGGCTGGTTCACATGTTCATTGGTCATCACTTGATAGCTGCAACATCAAGAGATGAGTTCCATGGTGTACTCACTGTCACAGATAAACACCACTGAGAATGCTCCCTTACATCCCCACCTCACTTCAAATGCAATGCTTTCCAGGCCACAGCCCACACAGTCAGTGGGTGTAAAAAAGCCAACAAGGGATGTACTTGCACGTGTGAACCACCTGAACTTTTGGGCTCCTAAGTCTATGGTGAAGGTACATGTCCAAAGTGTCCTGCAAATGAGTGGCCTTCCCCCAAATCCATTGTTCTCCTCCTGGAAGCCTTGGCAGCAAAGACAGCTTTAGGCTCCCCTCACTGGGACAAGCACATGCGCTGCTTCGCTGGAGACCGACCTGCCCCTTTCCTTCCTTTCCTTCCTAACCCGTCCTGCCCATTCGCGGGGGGTGGGGGTGGGGGAAAGCAGCACCCACCTGGAAAGCGCAGACCAATTCTTTCTGCCAAAGGACATGCTGATCTCCCCTCGCTGACTCTGGGCTTCTGGATTGTCGCAAGGCGTTTGGCAAACTCTTCAGGGCATCAAGACAGGAGTTAGGTCCGCCGTGAAGAACCTGGCCAAAAGGAGCCACTCGCAGCAGAGCGATCAGCCGCTTGCTTGCTTGCTTGCCACCCTGCTTCCTTCCTCGCTCCTTTCCCCGCGTGGCTTCCCTGCCTCCCTGCCTGCCGCTCCACTCCACGTTGAGCTGCGCTGTGCTGTGCACCTTTACCCTGCGGTGCCACCCGTCTTCTGCCGGGCTGTATCACATGGTCTCTTATCTACCTTGACGGGCTGGGAGCTGTAATTTGTCTATTAGCAGCACCTTGCAAAAGGCACCCTGCGAGGGTGGGACGTGACCCAGCCTGTGCACAAAGCCAACCATTCTTTGCCCGCGCTGGGGAAGGGTTTGAATTCAGTTCCACGCTCGGGCCAAGGCGCCCTGGGATTTTCGGGGGCAACTCCCTGCTCAGAACCAGTTTTTCCAGCCTCTCCGTCTCTGCCTCCGATTTCCCCACGACTGTGCAGGCAGACGAGGTGGAAGGAGGCGAGAGAGAGCGAGAGCGAAAGGGAGGAGAAAGAGTGGATTCAAGTCATCCGTGTCCCATTTCAGCTGGTCGCTTCTGCCACCGTGTCACTTTCATGTCAGTTTCAAAAAACAAAAATCCCCGGGCTCGAAAACCTTCCGCCGGCACCCGGGGGGTGGTTGACCGATTCCGACTTCTTTCCACCGTCCGCTGCGATTGCGGGCAATGGCTGGTTCCCAAGAAGTGCGCGTCAGGATCTGCGGAAGAGGAGCCGCCGTGTTTTTGGGAAGCTGGTTTGGAAACTCCTGGAGAGGTTAAAAGGAGGCAGGAGGACCCTCCACGGAACAATATACACATCAAATCTCTTTGCCCCTATTTTTCAAGACCAGGGTGCGCTAGGCGTGGAGCCTTGGAGATACCTGGGAGAGAAGTTCAGGGGCAAAACAAATACATCTCTGGCACTTATTCCCCCTCCAAGAAGGAGGGGTGCATGATCTGGCTTTAAAACACAACACAGAAGTCTAGACGTCCTACTCCTTGCCCTGACAGGTCATTCACGTCTGCCTGGCATTACACAGTTACTGGGCAATCATTCATTTGTCAAGCAGATGACTGGTTAGGAGCCTGAGATGACAGGCTGGTGTTCAGTGATTCAGGGCAGCCAGTGGTTGGGAGATGGTTTCTTCTTGAGCGTTGGGGATCCCTCTGTATTTTTAAGAGAACCTCCCTCTAGCTGAGGGAATATGGCAGAAGTTGGGGAGGGGAGATGGCAGTTTTGAAAGAGGCAAAGTGCTTAGAAGTTTCTTTGCAGAAGAGAGCTGGAGCTTGAGGGGAAGCACTGGAAGACTGCCCAAGCTGGTCTTTAGGGAATCTTTTAGGGAAACCACAGGCAGGATACGAATAGAATCCTTGTGATGCAATAGATTGTCTATCACTTTATGTCATCATGATGGCTATTATAGGAAAATCTGTTTAGTGTGTGGCTGGAACCACAGATTTAGATATCTGCAGATGGGGGCTACATGTGGCTATTAAATATATAGAAGATGAATTAATGATTTATCTTGCAGAAACAGATTCTGATTGCAGAAAGACATTTAGTGGTACTATTTTCAATTCTATATTATTTATTTTTGAAATTACATGATATGTGATCCTGGTGCCAGAGACTTGGAATAGAATAGGGGTTCTACTGGTGTACCGCCCACCCACTTGCACTACACATTTCCTGCTTGAGCTGACTAAGGCTGTCTCCTATTTGGCTTTGAGAAACCCAAGGTTTGTCACCTTGGGGACTTCAGTGTCCATACCAAGGCTACCCTGACAGGAGGGGCTCAAGACTTCATGGCCACTAGGAAAACATAGGGGTGTTCCGAACTTTCTACTCCCTATGTAGGACACATTTGATCTGGTTTTCTTTCTGGGAACAAAATGCATGATTTAGTAATGGAGAGATTTTCTACTCCACCCGTATCATGGAACGTTTGTGCCAGTTGACTTGCCACAAAGTTGACTTTGCAAACTACGAACCAGCCAAAATTCGTCATGAACTTTAGTTTGTGAGCCAGCTTGTGCCCATCCCTAGTGGCAACCAGAATCAGGGCTTGGCCAATAATGGCACCTCACCTGTGAAATGCCCTTCCCCTTGAAGACTGTCTGGTGTCTATACTACTTTCTTATAGACACCAAGCCAAATGTTTCTGTTTACGCAGGCTTTTAATTATGTTGTTGTTGTTCAGTCACTCAGTCGAGTCCGACTCTTCGTGACCCCATGGACCACATCACACCAGGCTCTCCTGTCTTCCGTCATGCTCCAGAGTTTGCTTAATGTCATGTTCATTGCCTCGATAACACTGTCTAACCATCTCATCCTTTGCCGTCGCCTTCTTCTTTGACCTTCAATCTTTCCCAGCATCAGGGTCTTCTCCAGTGAGTGCTCCCTTCTCATTTGGTGGCCAAAGTATTTGAGCTTCAGCTTCAGTATCTGACCTTCAAGGGAACAGTCAGGGTTGATTTCTTTTAGGATTGACTGATTTGAAGTCCAGGAGACTCTCAAGAGTCTTCTCCAGCAACTTAATTCAAAAGAATCTATTCTTCGGCACTCGGCCTTCCTTATAGTCCAACTCTCGCAGCTATACAGTACTACTGGGAATATCATTGCTTTGACCATACGGACTTTTGTTGGCAGAGTGATGTCTGTACTTTTTAATATGCTGTCTAGGTTTGCCATCGCTTTCCTCCCCAGGAGCAGGCATCTTTTAATTTCATGGCTGCAGTCACCGTCTGCAGTGATCTTGGATCCCAGGAACGTGAAGTCTGTCACTGCTTCCGTGACTTCTCCTTCTATTTGCCAAGGAGTGATGGGGTCGGATGCCATGATCTTAGTTTTTTTGATGTTGAGTTTCAAGTCAACCTTTGCGCTCTCCTCTTTTATCCTCAGCAAGAATCTCTTTAGGTCCTTTAATTAATTAAGGTGTTAATCTTTTAACAATATTTTTACCATTGCTTTTAGTCCTAAAACTGTTTTTCATATTTAATTGTTTAATGTTTTATATTTTATGCTCTGGATGAGTTTTAATGTTCGGTTTAAATTATTAATGTTTAATTATTTATATTTTTCTATTTTTATTTTGTAAGCCATCTTGGACAGTTTTCCCATAGAGGCAGCATGATTTTTCCTAAATAAATAAATGCATTCATATGGTTAATTTGTCCACAGTTACAAAGTGTAATCAAATGAATCAAATCAATGTTTGACTCAGTATCCAGATTTATTGATAGACCTTTACTGTGATCTATTAAACTGGAGGCAGAAATGAGAATTTGTTTTTCTTCCAAGACCACAAGAGAAGCCATGTTGGATCAAGCCAGTGACACAGTAGCAAAACCCAGGTGCCATCAGGAGGTCTACCAGCAGGGCCAGAACTCCAGAAGGCCTCCCACTGTTGCCTCTCCAAGCACCAGGAATACAAAGCATCACTGCCCCAGACAGTTAACATAAGAACCTTTAGTTAAGATAAGAGACACCAATGTTGGATCAGGCCAAAGGCCCATCCAGCCCAACACTCTGTGTCACACAGTGGCCAGAAATACCAGTGCCAGTGCCATCAGGAGGTCCACCAGTGGGGCCAGGACAATAGAAGCCCTCCCACTGTTGACCCCCCCCCAAGCACCAAGAAGACAGAGCATCACTTGTCCCAGAGCCCCTATCTATACCTTGTGGCTAATAGCCACTGATGGACCTCTGCTCCATATGCTTATCTAATTCCCTTTTGAAGCTGTCCATGCTTGTAGCCGTCACCACGTCCTGTGGCAGTGAATTCCAGGTGTTAATCACTCTTTGGGTGAAGAAGTACTTCCTTTTATCTCTTCTAACCCGACCGCTCAGCAATTTCATGGAGTGCTCACGAGTTCTTGTATTGTGAGAAAGGGAGAAAAGTACCTTTCTCTAACTGCTCTATCCCATGCATAATCTTATAAACCTCAATCATGTCACCCCTCAGCTGTCGTTTCTCCAAGCTAAAGAGCCCTAAGCGCTTTAACCTTTCCTCATAGGGAAAGTTTTCCAACCCTTTTATCATTCTAGTTGCCCTTTTCTGCACTTTTTCCAAAGCTATAGTATCCTTTTTGAGGTGTGGTGACCAGAACTGTAAAAAGTACTCCAAATGAGGACATACCATTGATTTATAAAGGGACATTATGATACTGGCTGATTTGTTTTCAATTCCCTTCCTAATAATCCCCAGCATAGCGTTGGCCTTTTTTATTGCAGTCACACATCTGTCTTCACATTTTCATTGAGTTATCTACTACGACTCCAAGATCTCTCTCTTGATCAGTCTCTGCCAGTTCAGACCCCATCAATGTGTATTTATATTTAGGATTTTTGGCTCCAATGTGCATCACCTTGCACTTGGCCACATTGAACCCCATTTGCCATGTTGACGCCCACTTGCCCATCCTTGACAGATCCCTTTGGAGTGCCTTACAATCCTCACTGGTTTTCACCACCCTGAACAACTTCGTATCATCCGCAAATTTAGCCACTTCACTGCTTACTCCCAACTCCAAATCATTAATGAACAAGTTAAAACGCAATGGACCAAGTACTGATCCCTGCGGTACCCCACTGCTTACCCCCCCTCCACTGAGAGAACTGCCCATTTATACTCACTCTGTTTTCTATTACTTAGCCAGTTTTTGATCCATAAAAGGATCCCATGATTTTGAGCTTCTACTGCAGAGATTCTCTGAGACATTGATTATGTTTTGCTAGGCTTCTACTGCCCTTTCTTTTTGCCATTTCCCCACTCCATTGGAAACTTGGAATAGAATAGGGGTTCCTATTCTATTCCAATGGAGGATGGAGGCACCTTATGGGGGGGCATACCGTAAACCCCGTAAATCCAATCCTTACCAAACTTGGAGGACATGTATAGGAGAGTCAGCCAGAGATCTAGCTTGCACAGAATCCATTCTATACACTCCTGAACCTCCTGAACCTGCATCTGTCATTTCCCCAGAAAGCACTTTCTTGAGGGTACTTTCTTTGAGGGGGAATAACTCAGACCCTGTAAGCCCAATCCTCACCAGACTTGGAGGCCAGGTAGAGGAGAGTTAGCTGGAGATCCCCTGTGCGATTGGTGTCACTAATATGTCGGGGGGCATTCTACTGTGTCACAAACCTCACAAACTGAACCAGTTCATTCAGCCCCTAGAAGTTCATGACAGTACGTGGTTCACAAATTGGACACACCATGAACCACAAACCGAACTGCATTTTCCTAGTTTGTGCCTGTGACGGAATTGGTCCTTACAAATATCCTTGACAAAGAAGTAAAACAAATACCC